ATCAACTCAGAAAAGTTTTGTATGTGGGAACATGAGCTTTTGTCTGGAGGAAAGGTCCATAGCTTTCATCAGAATTTTTCCCCAAATCATGACCCCCACTAGCTTACAGAAAAATAAAATCTTTGACTAAAAGGACACCCAAAATTGGTTGTTGGATGTAGGTAGGAGAAAGAACAAAGCATACATGGACAATTCAGTTTGTAAAGAAGATAAACCCACATATAGATCTGTATGTTTTCTTTACCTAAATTTTCTTTTTAAAAAAAGTGGTTTAACTTTCTCTCCATGATTTTAAGGGGTGACCTTAATCCATAATCACAGCTGCAGAAGCAACCAAACAGAAAAGATCAAACTTATGCTGAGAAGAAACTGAAGCAATGCTTTATTGCAACCACAAAGCACCAATCTAACAAGGCATTGACACACAGAGATTGAACAAATGTCTCTTTGAACAGAGATGTAACAAGCTCACTTCTTCAAGTTCTTAAAAACAAGTACTCGAACCAAGAATCAAACAAAGCATCAGAGCAATTAAAAAAATATTACACCATCCTGAAGGAATAGATATAAAAATATTCTGTACTAGTAACAAGGCTTTTTGATCTGTGTCTCCTGGCAAATTTCTTCAGAAACAAATTATTATAAATACAAACCATAGAATGATAAAATGTTTTCTTTGAAACAAAGGCCCAATTTAAAAGTAATTTTATGCAGAAAATATCAGTGCCCCCTGTGACATCTAACTGAATATGGATGGTTACCCCCAATATACAACAGAGTTTCTTTTTTCAGAGCTATAGCTCTGCTCCTGAAGGGGCCATGATACACGTTCACTTCAAACATCGCAGCATATCCCAGTGAAACCTTAATAAGGTCAAGTGAGGACCCTCTATAAAAAAGGGTGTTGGCAATTCCATCCAAATAACAAGCACTAAGAAGCAGAGGAATTCAAGGGCGACGGCCATCCCGTTCTCTTTTCTCCCCCTCCCCAAGTCTGTAACCAAAAGATGATCATTCCATTAAATTCTTTTTTAAGGATTTTGGGAAAGCAATCTATGAAGAAATGAAGAAAATCCTTATGAGTTCAAAGCCTTTCTGAAGAGGGGTGTCTAATCATGTCAAAGATTGATTTTTTTCACTCTCTTTAACAAACTCCACAATGAAAACCATTCTGTTGTCCTTGATCCTCCTGGCTGAATTCAGGTCAGCTGATGGATTGCCTAGTCTATCCAATAGGATAACATTTCATTTGATTGAAATTCTTTACAAATACACATGTATGTATTCTGTTAACAAAGTTTCATCACATGAAACTAAATTATGTCATTATGTATTTTTTGAGGTCTAAGACCCCAATTTGACTGTACTATGAAGAGTTGTTCTTTAAATGCTTTGACTGCAGAGGTTTTACATGATACTCGTAGATTTTCAGAGCAGGCCCCAATTTTAACTGAAGTCCTGTCAACACATCATTTCTTGTCATCAATAGCAGGGATTTTCCATCAATTTCCTATAATTGAAGCAGAGGGTAAATCCAACATGTAAGTCCAAAAGCTCAAGAATAATGAGGAAAAAAGGAAGTTCAAAGGAAAAAGTCATATTGATTTTCCCCAAGTTTAAATCATTACTTTCTCGCTTATGCCAAAATAGAAAAAATGGCATCTTCTATTTCATCTTCCATATTGTACTTTTATTTTTGGATTAAATACAATTCATAACTGTTCTTGTTTTCAAGATCACATCACAAATGTCACATCCTAAAAACTGACAGCAAGCTTGGAGCATGTACCCTTACAGATCAAAGAAGTTCTTCCGAAAAGGATAATGACACTTGCCATTTATAAATTATATTAAAGTTTATGCAGAATTTTGTGTACTTAATTCCTAAAACAACTCTATGAATTATGACAGGCAGGGATTATCTTCTTAATTTTACAGGCAAACCAAAAATCAAGGCAAGAAGTTAAGCTGCCCAAGATCAAGAAGTTAGGAAAGCATCGCAGAGGATTTGAACTTTCATTTGCCTGCAGCCAAAGCAGATGTTCTTTTCATAACTCCCTTCTGTTTCTCCTGGCACTTAGAAGTAAATATGTNTTTCTGCCTAGCAAGAAAATAGTGCTCCCCTGGGATCGAGCCCTAGCTCTCCTCCTGGCTACCTACCAGACCTATAATTAGGGTCAAGGCACATCAGAAAGCAACCAGCCAGAGACATGGTGCACCTGCTCAGGGAGTAAAGGGTCTACAGGCCAAAAGAGTGGCAAAGTCTCAGTCAGTATATACAGCAGCTAAAGGGTTATACGTGGGACTGGATCCTGAGGGCCCTAGATTAAACCCATCAGACTTTCAAATCAAGAAGGAGGGACAGAAGCAGTTTCTATTCACATGGGGTGAACACTGTACACATTTATGGTCTTACACTAGGACTACATTAAGTCTTCTGCCCTTTACAGATGGGACCAGGACCATCTGGACATTTCACAGAACATCACATTGGTCCATTGTATCCATGACATCATGTTAATTGGGCTGGAAGAGCAAGAAGTTATTTTTGTACTCCAGAGAAGGGTAGAGAAACCCATCAGAAGCCCACCATATCAGTGAGGTTTTTAGGAGTGTTATGGTTTAGGGCAGGGGTTGGAAAAAATCTGCCCCAACACCTGTTTTTGTAAATAAAATTTTATTGGAACACAGCCAGACCAATTGGCTTATGCATTATCCGTGGTTTCTTTTGTGATACAATGGCAGAGTAACAGAAAATAAAGAATTAATAACCAATATAAGTCAGTTGTAACAGATTATTTGGCCCACAAAGCCTAAAATATTTAGTCTCTGGCTCTATATAGAAAAACTTTGATGACCCCTGGTCTAGGGCATTCCAGGACATTTCTTCTGATATCAGGAACATATTACTGCATTTCAAACTTTCTACCACTAAGACAAAAGCACCATGCCTGGTAGTCTCTTCAGATTTGGGGGGCATCGTATTCCAATGGGATATTCCACTGGGAATTCTGGTCCAGCCAACCCGTTTACTAGGTGATGAGGAAGGTTTCCAGCTTTGTGTGGGGCCTAGAGCAGCAAAAGGATCTACAGCAGGCTGGGTGCAAAAATTCCTGCTGCTTGGGCCGTGTGAATTAGCAGGCCTGATGCTATTAGAAATGTCTCTGATTGAGGAAGATGCTGTGTGGGGCTTCTAGCAAGCCCCAATAGGAAAATTACATGCTATCCATAGCAGAGAATTATTCATCATTTGAAAAATAGCTTCTGGTGTGTTACTGGGTCTTGGTAAAGCCAATTGTCTGTCTATGGGACATCGAGGAAATTTATGGCCAAAGCTGCTCATCATGAGCTGGTTTCTATCAAACCCACCAAGCATTAGGATCTGATGAGTCCAGCAGGAATCCATTGTAAGATAGAAATGCGAGATTCGGGATCAGATACAAGTAAAGTTACAGGGCACAAGACATGAGCCATAAAAGAAAGGTAGCTTTTATGACAGTGGCGAAAGGAAATCCTCCCAATGAGTAAAGCTTTAGAAAATGCACCAAAGGGTCATCTACTCTGTGTAGAAAAAAAAAAGTGTCCTAAAGTATGAATATATAAAAACTCATGGCAAATGGCTTGGTTGGCTGGTCAGGCTCCTGGAAAGTGCAAGATTGGCAGATTGAGGAGAAGGAAGAGGGTTGTAAATAGATCTGTATGTAGTAATCATGGTGTTTCCCCCCCCCTGTATCTTAGATGTTTTGAGATCTTGAAAACTTACCCAGGGAAAGATTCCCTCTCCCAGGGGTAGCTAATTCCTCAAGTTAAAAAAAAAACAACTTACTTGGGAGCATGCCTCTCATATGCACTGTAACCACTTCCTTTATCTAAATCACACACCAAGCCATATTTCTCCTGTCCTAAGTCAACCCAGGGCCAGGAACCAAACAGCTAGAGACAGTCCCTATGCCCCAAATTCTGCCAGAATTATTCCTAGAGTGGGGATACTGCCACCTGGGGATACAGTGAGAGTGATTTAATCTTAAAGCTATAGGCTTGTCCAATCAGCCAACTCAACGATTCTCAAGCAAAACAGCTATTCCCAGCCCACTGATTAGCCAGGAGAGAATCAATCAGACTGAATACTGAGAACATTTATGAAACAGAAATGGTATTGTAGAACATGACAATGCTGTAAGTTTTAGCTGAATGGTGGAGGGGGACGGTGACACACATAACTTAAATAATTGGATTCTTAGAAAAATCACAGAAATTAAATGTTGAAATAAACTTCTAGTTGGACTTGTTTATTCTGTATGGGAGGCAATTGAACCAGCAGAGGTTGAGAGATGTGTCTGAGGTCTTGCTGATAAGTCGGTAGCAGATCTGGAGCCAGAACCCCCATCTCCTGATCCCTCATCCAGTGTTCCCTTCCTCCTCCACTGTGAATTCATGGCTCCAAAGTTTTCCTTTGTAACTGTGTGTGGATTCAGCTGATGTTAACTTACTCCGCATCCTGCATTCACAACATACAGAAGGCTGATGAATAACCTATATTCTGGTGGCTGGGAGAAGTCACCTTAACATTAAAAATTCATTATGAAATCTGCCCATATAGACAATTAAACAGACTGATGTCAACCTAATTGACTCAAATTAATGAATGCAGACCTACTCAGATTTTAAACTTGTATTATTTGCTTAACTTTTTGCTGTTTGTTATTGGCCCAAAGGTATCAGAGGTCTCCCTTTCATTAGTCTCACAAAATCATTTTGAATGTCATTAGAATGTTCATTTTTAATTAGGGACCGGATGTATTTAGAATTCACAAATGCCTCAAACTAACTTCTCTAGGCCTTTGGGGACCAGCAAAAACATATGCATCTTGCTCAGCGCATTTCCCTTTACTCAGCATAACAATTTTTCATGGTGCTTAAATAATGCATGTGCCCTTATGAAGATAAAGCATCTAGGACTACCCAATATCCAAAGACCCAAGAAAGTAATTGTTTTATCTTTCAGTAAGATCGGGATGCATCAAATGAGCAGTATTTGGGTTCAGCATATGTTTGTTAATTTTGTGACTTGGTTGGGCTTGAAACAAAGTGAGATCATAGTAATGAACCATACTTTAATGCACTTTTCATATAATACTAATGACTGTACACTCTTGTCTCATTCAACCCTCCATCAACCTTATGAGACTAGTGTTATGGAAGGATTGCTAGCTTCCCCACAGTATCCATCCCCCGTCATTATTTAGCTGGGTACTTGGCTGCCTGAAATAAAGACNCGCAAATGGCACCATTTCATCTTTTCTTATGGCAGAGTAGTATTCCATTGTGTATATGTACCACGTCTTTTTTTATCCAACCAACTATTGAAGGACACTTTGGTTGTTTCCATGTCTTGGCCATCGTAAATAAAGCTGCAGTGAACATTGGAGCACATATATCTTTATGGATAAATGTTTACAGATTTTTGGGGGTAGATACCCAGGAGAGGGATTGCTGGGTCATCTGGTAATTCTATTCTTAATTTTTTGAGGAACCTCCACATTGCCTGCCATAGAGGCTACACCAATCTGCATTCCCACCAACAATGTCTCCCTCTGCCCAATGCTGCCCTCACTGCTCACAGCATTGTTCCAGAGAACATTCCTCCATAAACCTACTGCATGAAAATCTCAGGGTCTAACTATGTGATTCAGGGGCTAGCCTTTTTCTCCACAGCTTCTCCAATAGTTATTATTTGTCTTGTTGATGACAGCCATTCTAATGATATCTCATTATGGCTTTTATTTGCACTTCTCTGATGATTAGTGATGTCGAACATCTTTTCATATGTCTATTGGCCATCTGTATGTCCTTTCGGAGAAATATCTATTCAGGTCCTCTGCTCATTTTTTTAATTGGATTGTTTGTTTTTTTTGTTGTTGAGTTGTATGTGTTCCTTATGTATTTTGGAGACCTAAAAACATAAGACCTGAAACAATAAACTGCATAGAGGAAAACATAGGTACTAAACTTACGGACCTTGGGTTCAAAGAGGATTTTATGAATGTGACCTCAAAGGCAAGGGAAGTAAAAGCTAAAATAAATGAATGGGACTATATTAAACTAAAAAGCTTCTGCACAGCAAAAGTAGCCATCAACAAAATAAAGAGGAAACCAACCGAATGGGGGAAGAGTTTTGCAAACAACGCCTCTGATAAGGGGATAATATCCTGTGTGACTCTTATAAGGACACTTCTCATTAAATTTAGAGCCCAGCCAGGTAACCTTCAGTGATCTCTTCATCTCAGGGTCCTTAACTTACATCTATGAAGTCCTTTTTTTCCATGTAAGGTCACATTTACAGGTTCTGGCAATTAGGATGTGAACACAGGATTTGGGGGCCACCGCTCGATCCACTCCACCAAGTCAGGAGATGGCGACCTTCGTGAGGGCAGCTCTTCTGGTTCCTACTGAATCTTTAGCTACATACACACACTACTATTCCCTTCATATCTAGGGATGGTCACATCC